TTTCACAGATCTGGTCTCATAATCTGTCCTATCAGGCTCCTCAAATGCTTTGCAATATTTTTCTACCTTTGATTTCACCGAGCGCTAAATATACAGAATTGCCGCAACGGGAGTAGAGAAAAATAAGACGTCGCCGATTTCAAACAAGGGCAAGAAAGGGGTCGGAAAATGTAGGAAGTCTGTGAAGAGAAAGCACTCTGACAGGAGTTCGTGAAAAATAAGAATTCATAAAAAGGCTTATAGGTGAGTTTGAAGCAGAAGTCAATAATTTAAATACAGGTTTCTCGGATCAGTGAATTTCGGAGCCTACCCTTCGTACGGAGACTGGGCTGCTGACCACCAGGTTTACCTAGTGATAAGAAAGAACACATGTTTAAAGTGGTACAATTGAAACGAGTTTAATGAAACAAGGGCCTGTGCGCACGTTCGGCGCTTTCCGCGTGCATTCTTTCTGCCAAACGCTGACCTGAGTCGGTCACGGCGCTCTCCTGGCCCTCCGAAGAGGAACATTTTGTTCCCGTTTTGCCTGTACCGATCACTGTTCGTTTATGTTCAGTGGCACCGCAAGCTCCCGACCTCGATCTGCTTTTCGCAGCCATAGGAGACTTCACCTTCAAAGATATATCTTTTCTACGTCTACTGTTCTTGCTAAAGCAGCTGCCCCTTACAATGCCAAATATGACAGGACTGAATTTCACGTACAACAGAAACAGAGTCACACTCCTTTGTTTTCCTGTCCCTGAACGCTTTGACGTCAGCTTTCGGGAAATGGACTAGTTTCACGTTTAGTCATCAGTGGAGCAACCGTCTCTGACGGCGACTTGATCACCGACGTGTTGGGCCGTCGGAGGTTGTACAACTTTGCCAGGTGCTTGACAGGACCCCCGTTTTATCGCAAGCACGGTTGCCATGTCCAGTGGTGGAAAAAAATACACTTCGCTGGCGTGTACTTGTTGCTCTGCAGCTCGTGTAGTTGGTTGTTGTTCTTAAAGTGGCAAGCTGCACCATCACTCACGTAGGTCACATGAGCATACCCAAATTGGATTTCACTGTTCTCCAAACCGTTGTCATATAAATTAAGTTACCAACAATCTCAATCAATCGCAATTTTTATTTTGTTACGTTGTGCGGTTTCCTACGGCGGCGTATCTATTGGCGCCCACAGGCGGCGTAGGTTCAGGATCCGCGGCGTCCTACCTCCTATATCATCTTCCCGCCAATGTTTGCAGGCTGATCTGTGTGCAAAGTCTCTCCGGTTGCTTTCTTTACGTCGCGTAGACGGAAACGCTACACGCCGGCTTTTGAAACAGACACCGCGAAATATGTTACAGGGTGGCGCCTCCAGTGGCGTACCAACTTGCTTTTGTCTGTAAGAGGGGGGGGGGCAAAGCAGCCCCCCCCCCCCCTTCCCCTTAATGACCGGGGCCCGTGTGCTTGGTATCCCTTTGCCACCGCCGGCCAGTGTTAGCCCTTCCCAGTGTCGGCTGTTCCAGGGGGGGGGGGGGGGGGGGGGGAGCGAGTAAGGAGGCAAAACATATGGTTTGCCTTCTTACTCTGGGAACTGGGGGAGGCAAGCGCTCTTTGCTCGCCCTCCCCCGTTTGGCACGCACTTGGGCGCCTCTCGATCGCTCCGGCCCATAGACATTTTTGGGTCGGTTGTATGAAAATGTATTAGGAATTTTCTCTTCAAAACTACCGTCCACCCTTGCGCTGTAAATTTGTCGTTTCCTGATCACACCGTTGCATTTATACTCATTTTAGTAATGAAATTGGGAACAACGCGTATGTGCAAGCCCCTTCTATGGCAATGGCGTTAGCGTCAATTCGATCAGATTTCTCATTTTACAACTTCGAAGCCAGACAAATACTGCATGATAATTTTGCAGAGACTGTTAGTATATATTATGAACGTCAATTTCTGAGAGTGTAGAGAATATTAAAGACGGCCTTTTTTTTAATGATTTTAAAAATGATGCCTAATTCGTTCATTTCCCCTGTATGAGCAATTCCTGTACATTTCTGCGCTAACCAAAACAACAATATTTAATGCAAAGAGGAGCTATATATAGGGCAACACGCTGGCTAAGTTCGAAAGCTTTAGCTTCTCTAGATACAGGAAAAAAATCTTTAATTCAGAGCGTAATTGCGCATTCTGCCGTGTTTGCGATTTTTTTTCTCAAAATAATGACCCTAATACTCGGTGATTAATACTTTTCGTCAATCCTTCCTGTGCCCAATTTGTCAATAAATAGTTCTAGAGTCGTAGCCAAAACAGGTTTTTCGGGGAAGCCGCCTGAAATACCAACATCGCGCGCTACGCAAAATGTGCACGTGACTGAGAGGGTGCTTACAAATGTTTTTCCCAAAGACAGTTTTTTTTTTCCAAAACAAGGATTGGTTTTATTCTTTCGGGCATGGAGCAACCAAAATATTTTTTTTATCAAATTAGAAATGATCATCGGACATGGTTTTTCCATCTTTTCTGATAACGCCCTATTGCTTTTATAATTTGAACGCTGGGTTTCGGTAACAAAATATGCCATCCCCAATTAATATACAATTTATAATATTGATGAATGAATGGTTCTCTACCAACGCGCTGGACCCAAAATGCAACGGTCACGACGTATTATACAGGGAGTGCGCGCCACTTCCAGCCGCCATGACAGGGGGATCGAAATACTTCCTGTTCTGTTATGTTTACCTCGTGTTTAAGAGCGTAGGCGGGGACTCTTGGTTCCCTAGCGAGGAGTTGCGTGAAAGATACGTTCTAGAAACGCTCCAGTGTCGTGCTTTTAAGTTGACCATGCGTACGGGCACGCCATTGCGCACAACGATGCCCATCGTTGCGCGCAAAAGGCACCAATGCCCACAAATGTATCACTATGGTACGACTTTTCAGGTCCCTTAAAGGGTAACACCACTCAATTCCAGAAATTTTGGGCTTATTTGCATTTCCATTTCCCAAACCACTACTAAACAGCTCTACGTCTCCGGATTCGCGAAATGTGGAATATTGCTTGTGTAATCTTAATTTAAACATCAGCAGACACCGAAACCAAAACTTCGGTTGCGTCAGGCAACATTGGTCTCGTGTCGTCAGAGTCATGGCCACGTCACGTCGAACCACGTGATCTTGTGACGCTCATGGGGGCGAGGTACAGCACACGTGACGCGGTCAGGCCACTTCGGATTGTGGAAAAAGTCACGGCCCGGTGGAGAGGAGGAATGGGAGAACACAAAAGAGGAGAGGGCAGCGGAGAAACTCGACATGGGTAACAAGTTGGGACTAGGGTCACTGTCGGTTACTAGTTGCGACGGGTCGGGGGAAGCGAGTCCGAGTGCAAAGACGCGCCGAGAAAAGTGCCAGGGAGAGCGCTAGAGATAGCGCGGGAAACAACGCACCAGAGAAGCACCGCGGAAAGGCCACCCGTTGGCGTCAGCGTCCCAGGCTCCCGAGCCCTGAGAAACCCGGATCGCCTCAACCGCAAGGCCATTCGCTAGCGTCAGCGCTTCAAGCCCCAGAACCCTCTGAGCCCGACCAGAGAAGCACAACGGCCACCCGCTGGCGTATGCGCCACAGGCCCCCGAACCCTCTGAGCCCTGTGGAGCTTGGATCTCCTCAATCGCAAGCCCCTCCGCTTGAGTCAGCGCTCCAAGCCCCTGAACCCTGTGAGCCCCGGTTCCAACTGGCCCACGCACCAGCACAGTGACGGAAAGCCCGGGACACCACCCATTCAGAACGCCACGGCCGTCGGTGAGCTGCGGGGGGCACCAGCACCGACTCCTATTATTAGTAAACAGTAAATATCGTTTTCGCCTCGTCTCTCCTCACTTCAGCGTGGGCCCACCACAGCGCGCCTATGCCTTCCCTACGGAGGTCGTCACAGCCTCCTCTGTGCGACGGCGGGCGAACTTATAGCAAAGCGCAAGTGTCGTCTGCTCCCCAATTTTCGCCAATGTACTTTGCTACAACATCGTGTGGAAACTTGTGAAAGACACCTCCCGGGCTGGTCAACTGATAATTCGAGCATGCAGCGACATAACATCGTGAGCCTATGGATCTTTCGACATTCATCGCAGCTAGGCATCGGAGATGCGGCCCGCGGCTGTACCAAACAAAACGTCCTTCTCAAGCTAGAGCAGCGGTGAGACAAAACAGAGAGCTCCCAGCTCTCCGCTCCGACAAGCGCGCAGTGCAGCGCAAACTAGCGCATCCGTATTACGGTGATCACGTGACGCCGTTGAGCCAAGACCGGGTGGAGAAACTCATGACGTCATCGTTAAATTTCGCTCTGAGAAGTAAAAAAGAACAAAACGTGAGAATGACGTAGACATGCCTCTGACGTACTGGCTCAATGTTGGCTGCTCCAACTCCGTGGCATTGACTGCGCTGATGATTGCGGCTCGCGTCGCACGCTAGAGTTGGCAGATTTCGGCGACTAGGCTCATTTGAAAGTTTGCTGCCGGTTTATTAATTATACAGACGGAATTAGATCGTAATATTTTACATGTGATCTTCCAATATGATACTAAAGTGGACTGCATATTTTTAAATATCAAAATTGAAGTGGAGTTGCCCTTTAAATATCACTTCTTTTTGCATAAAATTAATTATCGTCTTCGCGTTTCACATAGACAAAAGCTGGAGCTTTTGCGAAAACAAAAACACTGTACGCGTAGAAACCATAACAGTTTTATTTGGTAATCTGAGGAAACAAATGTATCATATAAATAAATATGTCAGAAATTAACTCGATCTCTATAAATTACCGCACATTCCCATACTCGAACTAGTAAAATCAGAGATTTGCCTCTGAGAATAAAATATTACACCATTTGCCCGTTTACACTGTCACACCGGTAGCGACACCCTCAAAATTTTTCAGTTACGGTTTCAAAACTGCTCTATATTAGAGTTAAGTTTCTGTCACTTCTGTTTGCTAATTCTGTAAAAAGTTTAGTCAGTGGCTAAATGTTTGGTTGATTTCCGTTTCCAGCTTGCCAGATAATCATCACCACAATGAGGGTCGCAGTGGTCATTGCGTTCTTAGTTGGGATGCTGTCCCTGACAGCTGTGCTTCCGGAACCAGCCTCTGCGGGAAGCGTTCCCGCAGATCCTGCTGATGCTGACGTGTTCCAAATAGCATTGGAGCTGACAGGCGGAGACGAGGAAGCCGCCATTTTAACGTTGATGAACGAATACATGCAGGTAAGAAAAATAGGCCTATACTTGCCTTGGATGAGTTCTTTATCGCTCACTGTCCTTTATTTTTCATTTTTCTTTTCTTTAGGGGGGGGAAGGGAGGGAAGGGTGTTGTATATTATTTGAATAACAGCATTACATATCAAATATATCTTGAAAGTAACCACAAAAAATTATGACGTGGTCGATTAAATATGTATTTATTTAGTTCAATCAGGTTACCCCGCAGCGTGAGATGCAATATTGCAAGACAAGAGGGCCGGTGCAGTAGCATAAAATATAATAACTCAATGTTGGCACGCATACAAAGAACAAAGACAAAGTAATTACTACACAAGCCCCGCGAAATCATCGCACAGTAAAAACAAAAGCGTATAAAGTCAAAATCAATATTTCTTAAACAACTCACCGTAATCCACGTTTCTATGACATAAATTCAGTCATTACTTTTTTTTTTCTTTCGCATACCATGTTTTGAAGTAAAATATAAAAGAAAAGTTTATCTAAATATATTGTAAGAGTTACGTGGTGTCCTCCCTTGCCCACACTATGTGACGTAATTACACTAATTAATTTCAGTGTCCTTGGAACATAACGTAATCTTTATTTTTAACATCGTTTGCATTGCGGTAGTAGACAGCTGACAGTTAAAACACAAAAAACAGGTTTCTGTGTCAGTATGACTGAATCAGTCAATAAAGCACTCAATCACTAAATCAATCACACAATTATTGTTATATGCGACAACGGCGGCATATTCAAACGATGATTCCTGGTTATTAAACTTGGAAGTTCCAGTAGTCACTTCGCCAAAGCAACAGCGACCTATCCTGACTCTCATGCCGTTTGATCTCCAAGGAACTGACTGACCATCCAGTCCTGCTCTACCAATGCTACCGGAATGGAACAACCATAGAGACAGAAGATGCACGAAACTTATCCATTCTTTTCGACGGTGTGGGTAAAGAGAAAGGACAGGTATCGGTCCAGATCTGGTACGTCAACGGCGATTCTGGCGAAATCATCAGGTGAGATTTGTGAAAATATCACAGAGCAAAACGTGGCCAGCGTCCTCTCGTTGGGTAGCGTTTCCTCGAAACACCGCGACTGTTTTGCCACGAAATTCGGGAAAAAATCCAGCAGCACCTCTGATTACATGGACCCCTAACATCAAATCCGGGGTATCGAATTCTACATTGGCGCCGCATATTGGATGCCATTGTAGGATAAAAAAAAAGTCTGTTTCTTCCGATGTTTTGGCTTCTTATTTCCTGATTAAGGCCCCCTCCTCGCCTACCCCTCGTCTCGATTTATTTTGATTCTCATCATTTCCCAAAATGCTTATTTTAGCTATAACATGCAAACTGTCGTCGTACACTGCACATCTGAAAAGATCTCGAGAGAGACGAGAGTGCAATCCCAAAAGAGTGAATAGAGCTGCAGCGCTCGGATTGCATCGGTGAACAAGTGTAGGCATGGAGCAAGTGGGATAGCTTTGCCTTTCACAAGAATATGTCGCGGGTAGGTCATAAATTCAAGCTCATGTCGCCTGTACGATCGGTCGCCCTAAAGCTGTGGCTTTAGCGTTGGCGATGTAAATAATCTTGTCTCGGTCGTTTTGATAAAACAAAGAACCACACATTGTGTCGTGCGTGTAATACGCATTCGTTATGATTTTCTATACTTGGTTGCGTGCAGCTTCAGGTGTTTTCAGATATGCTTCATACATAACAAGCTCCTCTGATCTACGTGTTCATCAGAATGCTCGAGACAAGTTTTGATATCTTTAGGAGTAGATTGTGTCAACAGCATGCTTTATTGAGAAGTGTTCCATATGTTTTATCGGCTGTCAATTGATTGCGGATGGGTGCGTTTAGAGCGTTGAATCCTCGATGCTCTTAGATTGTAAGGAGTCTCTTGAAACTGAAGTGAACACTAGGGGAGGAGGCTTGTCTCACCCTTCACTGTATCGATTGACTCTTGTCTGACGTTCTGATGTTTTACATCGTCTGCGCTACTCTTTCGGTACGTCATGATCCACCCAGAGATGCCGTGAATCCACGTGGAAAACTAAGCTTTGTGTAGATTGGAGCCGGCTGCGCGCGTCGACGGTCGACTGCGGATCAAGTGTAGGCTGGACTAAGTAGAGAGTTTTAGTATCGTGCACTTATATAGGAGCAAACGCGAGCGCTGTGCCTTTGCGTTATTGTTTCGTGATCCAGCCTGCGCATGCGCGTCTTCTGCATGCGCCAATCCAAAAAAAGGAATTCGGGCTCCGCACACGCGAAGTGTGGAACACGCAACGCCGATACCAATGCGCAGTGCTTGCTTTTCCCCGTACAAGCAATACTCACACTCGCGAGTATATCACTTGACGCCGACAGTCGCCCGCGATCTACACTCCGTTTTACTTGAAGTCCGACCGCAGTCGACGCTTCGGTTCGATGAATCCAATCAAGCGGTGCCAAAAGTGCGCCATAACGGCGCTCATGCCTTTTTAATGCGAAAGCATTAACTGGTCCAATGGAGTGAGCCGACGTCATCAGCTTTGAAGCCGCGCCAAACGGCACCTTAAATCCTTTCTCCATGTGAAGCCAGCTCCCATCTATAAAACCACGCGAAAAGCCTAGCCAAACGACACCTAGTTTACCCGATCCCATAGGAGCGGAGTAAAGCTGATAAATTTTGGCTTCAGTCCCATTGGCTTGCGCGCGTCGGCGAGGCCACCATTGGCCGCTGCGCGTCAGTTTCAACGACCGCCACCCCATGGCGCTGCGTGTCCACGAGGCAGTGGCTCCACCGCTTTACGGCCAGGGTCAACGCGCCGAGGACAGCGCGCGCGCTCGAACGTCGACGCAAGTACGCCTCAGACAAAAGAAGTGAGCGGAACAGCGGCGTGCATGCTTTCTCATTCGCAACTCATAAGAAGTGCTTAAGTGTACATCGAGCCTTTTTTTTCTTTGCACTGGCTACCATCGACTAGATCAATCAGGCAACATGAAGGCGATACGATCCCGCGCCTTTTTATTGCGTGATTGGTTAAGCCGGTGATAGGCAACCCGCAAAGACAACGAGTGCACGAGTGTAGTGACGATGCACTCTGCTTGATTTGCTTCCTCGCCTCATAACGTTGCCTGCGAACGGATTTGAGAACGACTCACCGCTGACGATCGCCGGCGGAGTACGTATGCTGAACGGCAACGGAAACAGCAACTGAGCTGTTTTCAGCACAGCTGAGTTGCTCATGGGGCGACGCCTGCGCTTCCCGGGGCCTGTGCTCCTGGAAATTTTAAAACCGTCTCGGCCAAACTATTTTAAGTCTCATACAGTAGGATAAGTCAATCAGAGAAAAATAGAGGCGTAACCATGACAGCAATCATGCAGCGCGCTCGCTTGCACCATTCCTAGCGGGAGACCGGGTGTGGGTGGAGGACTGCAAGGTCCGGCTACGGTGATAACACCAGCCTTCCGGCAGATGTGTTACGTTGTGCGAACCGAACCAGGTGTGGAGCTGCGGAGAAATCGTCGATGCCACATACTGTTCAACGAACAGGCAGGGGAAGACACGGATTCCTCCTTCGAATTGCCAGAGGGCACGGAGGCAAGGAAAGACGAAGCGCCAGGCGAAGTTGGGCTACAGGCGGAGCCATCTCCTCCCAATGTTCAATAGGCATCTCCAGAAGAAAGCGGTGCACCAGGCATATAGTATCGGACGGCATTAGCTATAACACGGCAGCCGTGGTCGTTGCGTACCCCCAGTGCCACATAGCAGGCGCACTCCGAAAAACCACGCATATCCCACCTCTACTCCGTTAAACTTAGAATGCAACTAATGCTACAAGAACGAGAGCAAAAGCTCACTGCTTTGTAAAGTTCTTCCACAAGTCGAGCGCTCGCGCTAGAAATTCACGTCTCACAGCTAGCACGGGTTAAGTCGCGCTTGTACTTTTGGCTGCAGTTTCAGCTTAAGGGTAAACGGAGTATACCCTGTGCGGCGGAATAGACGTTTCGCAGCAAGGAGCATGCTGCAAGTGCAGTTCCAAGCACTGCACATGCTGCCGTCTGCAGCAGTAACTGTTCTAAAGCAAAGCGAAGCAAACGGTGGCTCGCACGAACTTTCGTCAACGCCTTATTTTGGTCATTTACTTCGAATCCTCTGTACGGGGAAGGCGAGTGCGTGCAGCGCGTAGACCTTCACTCCCAGCATTCTCCATGATGCTTGGGGAATGGAGCCACATGTCTATTACTCTTCCAGGTTGCAATCACACCCTCTTCCTGTCGTCTGCCGAATAGCAGACGCCGCCACAGCACTGGCCGATGTTTGCTCCACAGGCTTTTGTGTCTCTTTCGTTACGGAAATTCCCTGACTCGCGGAAACGAGTCAGCCAGCCAGTCAACAAAGTGGACATACGGAGCTAAGCATAATCGTTTCCGATGATTGTTCACATATCTGGGTAGATTATACTTATATTAATCGGACATACGCCTGCTCATGGTTTTTTCGTGTGTCAGAAATGCCCTGATAATTATGATTAGCTAGGTATGCCCCCTTCGTTGGTTGTCTGGCTTGCTCGTTTTCATGTCAGCAAATCTCCGTACCGAAGAAGGCACCCACAAAAGCCTCTGAAGCAAACATCGGCAAGTGCTGTGGGGCAGCGTCTGCTTTTCGCCTTCCAGACAACGAAAGAGGCGCGGCATTTCAGAGTGCATCTGCTATGTGACGCTGGGGGTACGGAGCGGCCATAGCTTTCTTGTTATTCGCGACTTTCACCATAGGTGGCGCCACTCATTTTCCGAAATGGCAGTTATAGTGAGGGTTGGAGATGCGTTCCGGTATACCAGTAGCTGAGCCTGTCTAGTGTGCTTGCTTCACTGGGCGGTACAAATTATTCCCGCTTATATGAGGCTAGCTAGGCTGTTATAAGCGCAGGTCACCTCTTTATCCTGAAAACAGAAACGGTGTTTAGCGTAACACTTACTCCAGGAGAAACGTTTCTGGAACGAAACCGAAACTAACCTCTATTTTGGATTTAATTTTTCGGTATAGGCGGTAATTTCAAATTCTTTCTTTTTCGTGTGTAAGGAGAGAGTGTATGTTTGCAATAGTGCGCTGTAGTGTGTTAATATGTTCAAGATGCATGTCACCGCGTAATTATTTATCTAAAGAGATTGTTTGAGGAAACTTTACATTGTGACATACGAGTCTGATCCAGACACTTCCAAATATGTTTGGAGAGTTCAATGTCCCTTTAAGGATAGGGTCTTTTATACACCTTAGAGGTAACGTAGAATATTATATTTGATAAAAAAATCAGTGCTTATAGTTCTGTGTTCAAGTCGCCTTTTCTCGCTCAGACAATTTTTATGTCAAATAATGAACTGCGGTCCTCTTAATGGGTTTCTGGGTATTTTGATGATAATTGCTTTAACATTATTTTCAGCACAAGAATAACAAAATCAATTCAAATTTTTCAAAATATCGCCACAGCTGATGAGTAAAGAATGTATTCACAAAAAATATAAATTAAGAAACGCTGTTCGCACTACAAAAATTTCCGAGACCGTTTCTGAGTCAAACAGCAGAAGTGTGTGTGTTTTCTAAATCAACGCCTGACGCATATGACTTTCTATTACATTCAGTGTTTGACTGTTCGTCTATCTTGGTAACGATATTCGTGTTTTTTATATGCTAAAAAGAAAACAAAATTATACATTTCTGGAAAGACTACTATGGTTAAGGGGCGTATTCTTGAGATCGCGGCGTTTTTTGTGGGCCTATATTGCCGCACTTTGATGTAATATTTATATTACAATTAGGATATTTTAGTACGTAGTTTTCCGAGCTCAAATTTAATTTGTAGCTTAGCATCTAATTTCAAACGCTCAAAATAGTATGGCAATCAAAAGTGTGCAAATAACAATGACTGAAGCCAATTGCGGCATTTTTAATTAACAAGTTATTAAAAAAACAGTCTAAATTCAATAAATATATTATATAAAAAAATTTCGTCTCACCCTAGCATGGACTAACCGCGAAGGCTGTGCTAGCGCGAGCGGCCAGCCTTGACTGCCTTGACTAGAGCACTTGCTGCACGAGCGCTCGTGCAGCTGCCGCCGCTTCATTCAAAGCGACTGGCCCGCGCTTTTAGCACGCGCGGCTAACAATAGTCCATACTAAGGTGAGACGAAGTACAGCTAATCTTTGAAATCCATGGTAAAGGCATTCATTGTGGGTAAAGTATATGGTGCTCTCCACGTCGCCACTTTTGACAATCGGCAAAACTTCCAAGGTCAATAGAAATGAACCAAAAAAACTAACAAAAAAAAAGTTTTTTTTTAATTACTAATTTTTCCAGCACATTTAGTTCTCTTTTTATTATCTTTACGCGCTGTCATTTCGCCAATCTCAGCCTTACCGATTCGAAGGAAAGTCTACCCGTTTGCAGGTCTGCTCACTGCTGCACGTCGCGTTGGCGCAGGAAACCGGTGAACAGTAGTGAGTTTTAGTACTGCGTATACGAGCGAACGCAATCACTGTGTTTGCGTTAGTGTCGCGTGTTCCAGACTGCGTGTGCTCGGAGCCCAAAATTGCGGTCTTGGATTGGAGCATGGCAACGGTGCGCATGCGTAGCGTGGAGCACGCAACTCTACGCAAACGTACAACGCTTACGTTTGCTTCATACGCAACACTAAAACTCTCTAGTAAGGTACCATCCCATACCGGCTGCAGGACTACATTGGGACAGTGAAGAGTGCTGCTTCCATTCAGAAATTAAATATTGCGAGCCATGATCGTGAGCAGTTCCGCTGTGCCCACTGCGCAGGAGAACCGGGGACCCTCACTAGAGCGCTTCGCGTTTTCGCCCCTGGAGGGTGAGCAACGAGCTGGAGACGCGTATACCTAAAAAATGACCGCGATAGTCCGTCACACCTTCGGGTCAAGCCGTGGAAGAGCCTGTATTATATGGTGCTCGCTGATGTTCTAGCATGTGTTTCAGTTTTAATGGTATATATTCGTCAATGTTTTTTTGTGTCTTCTTACTTTATTTCGATTCGTTGTTGAATTTTCTGGTTGATCCGTTTTGGTTTTTAAGGAAAAGATAGATGTTGTGTCATCATGATCTTATCGCTCAGGAAACTGACCCGCTCGCGCATGGTAGCCGGCGCTCGCGTCTTATCTGGACGGACGTATGTCGGCGATAAATAAATAAGATGTCGGGGATAAGCTAGAGGGCTTGTCGGCGATTCGACTGCACTTGATCGCATTGTCTGTTACATCCGTTCGTCGAGCCGGAATGCGAACAAAACTATCCTCTTTTTCGTTTCACGTTATCGTGTAGATTGCTTCATGTTAAAACATATGGCTGTTTTTTTGTGTGTTTTTTACTTAATCAATTTTCATTTGTCCATGTGTATTATAGCATTTTTCTATGTTTTCCACAATCGCAGCTGATTTCTATGTTGTGAATAGCAGCTGACGCCGTGATTCCCCTGAAACCGATCTCTTGTATCTTTTCTCTCTATGCTATCCCAGGGACACGGCTGAACTGACCCACCACACTGACTCGGACACGGTAACCTTCGCCGCCACAGGTAATGTGGATAGCATGTTTTAAGATGGAGGAAGATTGTGTTATAAAATTTATCAGTTCAACGGTGCAATGTGTCGAAAATTTGGTAAAAACTACGGTCATAGAGACAAACTGTTGTGTTTTAGAGCGGAAATTCAGGCGAGCTGGCTTATGATTTTGAACGTTGTTTAAATATTTATTCTAGATATAAATACGAAACCAGAGTTTTGTTATTAATCTTCATTGCCGGAACGCATTGCCATAAATCCCGTCTCGTCTTCGGTTATTTCTACGTCAGCTCCTAACATCCTGGATATATCCTCTTTCTTTAGTGTAAAGTCACCAGCGTAACAGAAAAGTGGCTCCAGAATTCAAACTACCATTTTTTTTATTGTTTTTACTTCTGAAATCATATGCCCACGTCCTTTAACGTTTCGAAAAACTGATACATTTCTTAAATAAAACTGCTCATTCTTTTTTCTTAACGTACATATTTAAGAATGAAACTGAAAGAAATCCCTCGGTTATGGGGTTAAAACTCAAATTCCAGCCAGTAATAACTACACGCATGACAAAGAACGATGTAACACCGGCGAGTGAAGAGCCATCCATGTTTGAAAAAGAATAAGTCACGGGAACATGGCACGAACGAAAAAAAAAAAAAGAACGCATAAAACAAGTACGGGCGCAATTAATCAGTCACGCCAGACGTGCTCACCCGTCCCGTAAGGCTGACTTCTGCTCATCTAGCAAACAACCTGCAGGGAAACATTAGTCGCACAGTCAAGAACCAAAAGAGACGTCTTGTTTTGATCCCAAAAACTGAAATTTGTAGCTCCAAACATACTTTAAACATACTTTTACTCGCAAATGTGTGTAGGTCATCTTGATTGTATACATTGTATACACACAAGTATACATTCAAGAAAGACGGGAGTTAAAGTGTCATAGGTGGAGGCTATTCATCCTCATGTATTTGCAAAGCCTGTTGGCACGTATTTGTTAATAAATATTTTAAAAAATTGTTTATAACTTTTTAATCATTACGTTTCAAGGTCCTGGACGTTTGGCATATATCTCAATCACTAGATTGGGTACTACTTGAACTTTTCGCAAAGCATATTTTATCGTTTCTAGCGAGAAAAACACGCTTTTTGTTCCTCCCGAACATCCAGCACTATAATTAGAAGCACGTCTCTTAAGATCGAACCACTGCCACTTTCCTTCTCCAAAATCTGTGTTATATCTCACGGAACCTCTTGTTTACACAAATATTATTGCAAACAAATTCGGGGAAAATACAAAATCTTAAAGAGTGTTGAGGAAGGCGCCGTACTTTCTGTAAATATTTTACATGTAACGTTTACACTTAATAATTTAGCCATATACTAGTGTTTCCGAATACGTGGACTTAAATGTCAAACCCAATACTTCGTGAGACATTTCCATGTCGTGAGATAACCATATGCTTTCTCTTAACAACGAAATGAAACTCAATTTAGTTATTATCTAAATACTGTTATTGGTTTCATTTTCAGGGGCGACGTCGGAGGTAACTCTCGTGGACTTCAGAGGCTACAAGAGTCACTACATAAGTAAGGCCCTCACTCTGCAAAATATTTGTAGCCATCGGATACTGGAGTTACTCTGTACAATGCTTTGATTTCTATTGGAGTATGAGAACATGTCTACTGGGATAACTTCAAATTTGTACTGCATCTCTTGTGGCAAAAGCGTCTTTTAAAATTGAGCAATTATAACGGTTGATTATACCAAATATTTTCGTATTTTCTTGGTTCGTTTATAATTCATGCACCTCAAAGAAAACACTGTAAATCATCGTAGCACTTTGATTTCGACATTCATACGATATCTCAACTTAGGAAATCACATCAGTTCATTGATAAATGTGAACCTTTTTAATGACCTTATTTAGGTGTATAGTCGAAGACAGTATGATCTGGCAGAGCACAACGCCAGCGCAGGAAGGAAAAATGCAGCAGGGGTGCCATCGGCGTGCTTTAACGCAGAAGCTGGTTCCATAATGCAACAATAGCAAGTCCGGCATTCCCTTCTAACATTAACTCTTAACATCCCTTAGCTTGATTCAGCTTAACTTAGCTTAACATAGCTTAATTTCGCCTAAGTTAGCTTAGCTTAGGTTAAAGTGACACTGATATAAAACGAAATGTAAAGTGCCTAAAAAGAAACATTTTGTCTTCAATATTTATGACGTTAGTTTGATTTGGGGGGGGGGGGGGGGGGGGGGCGGAGCTTTGGTTTAGGCCCTGCTCATAACGAAATATGCTTACCTAGCTAAGCACGGTTACTCGGCTCTCATTGGTTGGAGAGATGATGGACGTGTGAAACGTTGTGTCGTTTTAAAATGGTTTCTCCGTGCCGTAATAGTATTTTATCGACAATATTTTTTTTATGTTTGAGAAACAAGTAATCTAGATAAAGTTAATATTGTTTTCAAAAATATCCCGAGATTGCACTTACCGCTTGGGTTTCAAACTATAATAAACCTGGCTGCTGGCGTTTGCAGCGTGTTGAACGATCGTAGCTCGTTGAGCTCGTTCATGTCATGACGATCCCTCCAATTTTCTGGAAATAAATATTTGATAGCCAATCGCAAGCATGGTGCCCCAACGGATGCCCCATAAGTGCAAGCACGTGAACATAGCCTTGGCATGCTTACAATTGCACGGCTTGTCCGCACGAGCAGAGACATGGCGGCGGCCATTAGCCGCGCTTGCGATCGTCTACTTGTGAGTGCGTGTCGTTCTGCGGTCACCAAGGTGTTGAGACCAAGTTTTCCTCATCCGACCTAGTTTAGAGCAAACAACTGTCGCGAGTACACGCCTTCGGAAGCCCTATGCGGGTACTTGTTTTCGCACCGGGACTGCCTAAGTCTAGAGTCCCAAGTCAACTGTTTTGCCTGATCTCGCTTGATTTGTTCGTTTGCGCGTGTTCATGTTGAGTAAAGATGTTGGTTCTCGTAAAAGCGGCCCCGTTGCTCTGTGAACTGTGCAAACGTTGTGATTGGGACCATGGTTTCAATACCGTGAAGATACCCACACAGGTAACAATTCGGGAGTCATTTGGATGGAGGAACGCACATTGACGGACACCAACAGACGCTTGTATTGGACCGTGGCTCGAGCATGATAAAAACTTGGACGTCATTTTCATGGTGGCGTTTTGCGAGCGTTTCAAACGTTTCTAGACTGGGAGCAATAGCAGACAGACGCAGAATGTAACAGACACTCAAGCGCCGCTTTCATGACCGCCTCTTACGGGCGTTGCAGATGACACTAGACGGTGGTGCAATAGCAGACGATGCCGGTAGCTACCGAGCGTCTGCTCTCACGACTAGCAGGTGGTGTTAGACGCCAGGCATGATGCACTGGACGCATACCGGACGTCGCGACAGGGAGGCACTAGGCTTGCGAGCGTGTTTGACCGAGCAGCTAAGGAAATTCAGTAATAATGGGCTGGACTGCTGATCTGTGGGCGGGGTTTAGAGAGGGCCGTGACCTCCACCTAAATTAAGTCAATATATATTGTGTAATTTTTTTCTGTGGAAAGATTATAAAAAACAAAAGGAATTGCATATCTTATTAAACCTGTAAATTATTTTTCGTTTATAATTTTTTTTCTTAACGATCCTGGCGCACCTATATAGTATTGCTGTCGTTCCGTCCTGAATCTCATTGTACCAGCTTAAGAGGACACTTTGTGCACCACCTGTGCCTCTGCAGAAGTGTTGTGCCCGGTATCAAAAATAAGCCAAGAATCGGTGTTACTCGTTGGTTTATCCAAATCTAACGCGCGCTAATATTTGTTACCGTTCAGCAAATGGCTCAAAATACCATTACCGTTACTTCCACAAATTAAGAAACGGTACTTTTGCCTTACTTTGAAAGTCAGTATTATTTGGCATCGATGAACCACGGATACGAACTTCAAGAACAAGTTAAGTTTTACAGATTGATTTCAGGTTGTTTGGTTTATTTTTTCATCAAATTCTATTTCATTTTTTTAGTCTCAGTCAAATCAATACTGCTTTTTTTTTTTGAAAGATATTGAAAGGTTGCCACGAAGGACATAACCTTTCCCCTTTTAAACGCAGTTCACAGAATACGAATGAATTTTTTTTTAAGCTAAACCGAAGAAATAATAAAAAGCGATCAGTAACGAGAGACGTTATTTGATGGACCACACCGTAAAAGAGTAACAAAAATACTGCACTCGCTAGTCATTTAAAAATATAACGACTACGTCAGCGCGTTGCTGAACATGGAACGTGTAACTAATAAAGTCGATATTAGTAACCCGTTATTTCCAGCACTCCACCTCAGTGATTTGGCGCGGTTCATTTCGGGGCCATTGTGACAACCTCAAAAAACATAGTGAGAATGACGTTTAGAGGGAAGTATAAAGACAGAGCGCGGACCCTCAACCTTAAACGTTCAATTTGAGCGGTGTTTATACAGGTTTAATTAATTTGCTTTTTATTTTATTCTTCGCTTGCCTGGTTTTGGAGGGGAAAAAAGATGACGTTGTTGGTGCTGGATTTGTGTTGGTTTCGCACTGGGAACTTCTGTGAATTGCAAAATACAGTTTACACTTTTTTTAAAATATTCCACGTTCCCGACCGATCGCCTGGGAGTTCAATCACACCACCCACAAGCACTCATGTGACTGTTTATTCGCTCACGTCATGGTCCTGCGGGGACTTGTGTCGCGGTACTTCGGTGGCGGTCTGGTGTCGCTGGAGGGTCCCCTCTTTTTCGTCCTTGTCGTCGGGTGGCTTACGGCATGCACGGCCGAAGAAGAGCAGAGCCGGAACCCAGGGAGATGGCCCAGTGGCGACGTCTCCGTGAGTCCTCGCCAGCAGCCAGGACCCTTATGCCCAGGAGTCCGTTCAATGGAGAGGCCGGTACCGGCCGCCCGTCGTCATCTCGATCCCCTTATTTGAACCGCCCTCCATGGCCACGTGATATTTCCCTTTGGCCCAGACTTGGTAGTGAGTCAACCCTGTCTCGCGAACTATGTCGCAGTACGTCAGGTGGCGCCTGCAGGTGCAGCCGCGCGGGATGTCCGAAACGGGAGTCTTTAGGGAACGCCAGAAAGGGTTTGCGCCAACTCATGGCGATGAACATGATCCAGCAAATGCTAATGAATACATGCATTCAGGGGCTCCTCTCTTGGACGCCGTTCCTTTCATATACCAAAACCATTCGTATCAAAACGTTGTTGCTTAGTGGAATTACTTGGATGGAGCTCGTCTAACCACCTACGCAGAAATAATTTTTTGCATCGATTTTATCCTAGCATTTATTCGATTTTCAGTCCTCTAACATTTCTGGCAACTCATATTTGTGGTACTTGGGTAACTTTGCCAAAAACAAACAAATTTAATAAGTCAAAAACCAACTGATAGATTAAACATTGACCCGCACCAACGCTGGTGTGCGGCATCAACGTTAACACGCGAACAGAAAACAAAATACGTCACGAACAGACTTAACATCAATTCCGTGGAATGAGAATTTGGGAGCAGCACCGATACAAGTCAAGAAACGTGAACCCTCTTGTTTTCTATTGATAAAAAAGGCTACTTCCTACTCAACCTCTTCAATATTTTTTTTATTAATTTTCTTGCAAAAGTGAGCTACGCGAGCGGAAAAAAATTTAAAATACGTCTTTTTTGTAGCTTTTTTCTATAAAACTTTCCAAGAAAAATATGGGACTAACAAATAAAATTGTCTTTTTGGGAAAACCAATCATAACGATCAAACTTCAGCAAGTAACTTTCAAAAACGCGTCACTCGTTGCCCTTTTTGGAGACGAAAATATGTCCTTAAAATCTTTCTTGTTTAGAAACGTGAGGAACAGAGCGTGAAAATGTCGCTTTTTGTAATATCGTTCAGTAAAACAATCCTTTTCCTTATTAAATGTACCCAATCTCTTTATTGACCATTTCGCTCGATTCCTACAAACTTTAACGATGCATCTTGAAAAACAAAAAATTCCGCGTCTTGTTTTTTCAGCTGAAGACGTCGATGGAAACGCCAAGGTTGGTAAGATCTACGACGTCGACCTCACGTGCACCAATGGCCAGGAGCTGTACGAGGAAGTCTGTCCAGATGGATGCGGCATGGTGGCCACGAGGAGCTTCGTTTTTTAGAGTGCTCCTCAATGGCGCTCAATATGCCTCTCGTACACTCTCGAAGAAAATAAAGGAGAGTCACTGCGGTCATCTCTACGTATAAACCTAACCTATGCAACCTACGAACGCGCACCCTACTTTATGCCATTTTCTTATATTAAACGCAGGAGTTTGCACGCGTCAATAAACTTCTATAGAAAAATAAGTTATCGCTTTCTGTTCATTTTAGGAGTAAAGCTCAATCCACTTCTTGAATAGTGTAAACTACTTAATTTTCTTCAGGACCTTCCTTTTACTAATTGTTCTACTTGAATAACATCGAAAAATATATATCCCCGAAGATTTTACCCAATGGTAACGATATGAATAAAAGACACCACAACCAATGGCAAAAATTTTTCCCAACAAGATACTCTCGAAAAACGTACTTCCCGAAATTTGGAAAATATCGATCCCGAAAAATAAAATCGTTTGCCGTCATACACCAACCCGCGAGGTGCGATGCGAAGTATCAATGAGAATATATCACAACAAAATCGACTACTCGATTTCTAAACTCATCTTCGCTGAAACAAAAACCCTCTTGCCAAAAAAAAACTTTTTTTTTTGGCAGGGGGTTTAGAATTAGTGTTACTGAGACACGGTTTGCTTTAAAGGGATACTTCAACGAAATTTGAAATATTCCCGTCGTGTTCAAAAATGGCTTGATAATGATCTACAATATCCGTAAATGATCGTCGCACGTTTCTATTTTGGGCCTGGTGGCTGTATTTTTTGTTATAAACGGCCCACTTTGGCAAGCGCTCGGAAAAGGCCCAGCGGAGACCCCGTGACATCCAACGCAATCATGACGTAGGTCGTCTCGGGACGAGCAAAGCTACGGCGAGGCTGACGTCGAGAGGATGGCCTAGTCGTTCCAGCCACCGAAGCGGCTGCTTTTGTGCGAATTGGGAGTGACGAATTAATCTTGTATAACCTTGTAGGGGGACAATAGCGACTTCTGCTACACACAAAACGCATTCTCGGGAAGAGGGGAGTTCCTCCTGCCCCTCTTCTCTCGTCGTGGCCGGAGGCGGGACAACCTCCGTCACTAGCTCTCAAGGTTCGTAGACGGGCATTACAAGCGAGGCGTTAGCGACATCCACCAGGTGCTCTCTGCTAATCGTTTAATTCGTTTTAAAATTCCTTTTAGAGACTTTCTTAACAAGATATTGGTATGTCCCATGTGATACTGCTCCTTTGAACACATATAGACGAAAACATGAGCGCCGAAATTTCGTTGTAGTATCCCTTTAATGCTGGGTTGAGGTTACTCTGCTTCCCCCTACCAGAGTCCTTAAACTTCTCGTCACTTCCGGACACTGTGCCTAGCAAGGTGTTAGAAAACTACGTAATCTAACGTAATGAGCCGTCTGCGGCCCTGCCAGTAACACTTCCCGCTATTTTTCCCATACTTTTATGTAGGAAAGAGATTCTTCGTTAGCGTCGTCTTTGTTGTGGGCAAAACGCAGAAGCAATTAGCTCCACTGACAACGGAACCCATGGAGTACGATTCGGCACGAATTCAGGATGCTTAAACCCTAACTTACATCGTGCGTGTGCGTGTCAGTGTGCGTGTTTTATTTTTGACGGAGTTTGCATGCCGGAGACCTTTTGGCCGACGTTTCGAGCGCCGACTCGTCATAAGCCCGAATGAATACTGGTATTCATTAAAATGGAGTACCAGTCGAAGTTCTAGGTTCCCGACTATCCGGCTAGCGCAGTCCATCACGACGAAAAAAAAAATAACCCGAGCGATATAAAAAAAAACGTTGCTTCCGCGCATAGAAAAATCTAGCTAAAATAAGACGAACCAGGCTAATGGCGCCGACATGAATTCTGCGGGAGATTTCGAACCAGAAGCAACGTTGTACTTAGTTCTATCAAGGTGTCGTGCAATAGTGCAAAGGCCCTACACCAAAGAGCGTGAAGAGCCAAACTTAAGTGCCTTGGTTTATGGAACTACTTTTGCGCGGGTGTATTCTGCCAAACAAGTAATTAATTATATAGTATATAAGAAATCCATAAATATTAATCAGAAACACGATACCCAGTGAGGATTGTCCAACCCGAAATAAGGCTTGCACAGCATGATCCAAGCTATTGTATTGGTGGGCTCTTCAGGTGTCCTTGAGGCAAAACTACAGACAAATATGGAACATTTGAAATATTTGTAAGCATTGTTAATAACACTACGAAAATAAGGTATTCTATAGATGACGCGTGTCCAAACAAGGGTGTTTAAAAAAAAAACTTTTTTTTTTCTTTCCAGGGGCCCTTTAATGTTCTCAAAAGTGCCTTCCCCGATTACGTCACCCAGGGGGAAAAAAGGAGGAGCTCAAATTGGGGGAGGAGGGCGCAAACTTTGACTGGTCTTTCGCGTGCCAAACGTTTCCTCTTCTTTTTTTCTGCGAGGGACTTTTTTTTTAGCCACGTGTTTTTTAGGTTTTTGGGACTGCAAAAATATTGATCTTGAAGTTGTCGGTGGCCCTTTAAGGTGGAAGTAAATATAGAAACAGCACCGGACGCAGCGCTAACTTGAACATAAAGTAGCACTGATATTGCTCTCGATGTATGAGCGCTGTGTCAATAATGTGAAGAGGAGTCAGCGTTGCATCAGCCAGGTCAGCGCTATTTTCAGCACTGACTAACAACGCTGGGGCAGCGCTAGGGTTTATGCTTGAAAAGGCCGTAGCCTATTTTCCTATGTGTTCTCACTTCCCTATTTCGCAAGTTTGCCTCGAGATCTTGTACTGGAGTGACACAAAGAACACATGCCTGATAAGTTTCAGCGTTTGAGCTTTCTTTGAAGCGGCCAAAAATATTTGAATTAGGCGCGCAAGTACACACCGAGCGGAGAAATATACTTTTAGTATAGCAGAAGAGTGAATACCTACACTGGATATCGTCGACATCGTGCCATATCCTCGCAAAATATACGATAATGGCTGAAATATATTTTAGGGTGGTTTAAGTCACCAGGCTCGATCTAAAATGGACCATAAAAATCGACGCCTGCCCGTAGCCATCTAAACTTTTTGTGAAAGGTTATTTCACAGGTCGGTTTTTAGAGCGCAGCTCTTAGGCGCTTGATTCCGGCTTGAGCGGCGTCGGCGTCGCCGTCGGCGTAACCGCGGGGTACGTTATGGGACGCATGACGTCACTGACGACCTCATCAGTGACATCATCGGCATCCGCATCGTCACTGATGACGCCATCAGTGACGTCACTGGTGACGTCATCGGCATCTGCATCGTCATCGGCATCGTCACTGACGACGTCATCAGCGTCCGCATCGTCATTGATGACGTCACTAGTGATGATGACGTCGTCGTCAGGTGACCTCATAGGGGTCACGTGACCCTGGTGACGTCACGTGACCCCCATGAGGTCACGTGACCCTCGTGTGGCGACGGCGAGGCCGCTTGGAGGGAGGGGTAGCAGACAGGATGAGGAGGTGACGAGGAGGGAGGATGTACCTTCCCCTCAGTACCCTTCCCCTTCTCCTCCACAAGAGCTGCGCTCTAATTCGGCGTTATAGGGAGTTGTAAACGGCTTTCATTTTTAGAGCGCAGCTCTTAGGGGCCCGTTTCCGGCTTGAGCGGCGTCGGCGTCGCCGTCGCCGTCGCCGTCGCCGTCGCCGTCGCCGTCGCCGTCGGCGTCGGCGTAACCGCGCGGTGCATCATGGGAAATATCCCATAATGCACCGCGCGAGCCCCCCTCCGGGGTCACGTGACTTCGTGGGGAGGCACGTGACCCCCCCGAGGTCACGTGACCCCCCGAAGTCACGTGACTCCCCTGAGGTCACGTGACCCCCTCCTCGAGGTCACGTGACTCCCCTGAGGTCACGTGACCCCCCGAGGTCACGTGACCCCCGCCGATGTCGCGTGACCCCCCGATGGCGTCATCGACACTGATGACGTCACCGGCATCCACATCGTCATCGTCATCATCACTGATGTCATCATCAGTGATGACGATGACGATGCGGATGCCGGTGACGTCATCATCAGTGATGACGATGACGATGCGGATGCCGGTGACGTCATCAGTGATGATGACGATGACGATGTGGATGCCGGTGACGTCATCAGTGATGATGACATCAGTGATGATGACGTCATCAGTGACGATGACGATGTGGATGCCGGTGACGTCATCAGTGATGATGACGATGACGATGTGGATGCCGGTGACGTCATCAGTGATGATGACGATGACGATGCGGATGCCGGTGACGTCATCAGTGATGATGACGATGACGATGTGGATGCCGGTGACGTCATCAGTGATGATGACGATGACGATGTGGATGCCGGTGACGTCATCAGTGATGATGACGATGACGATGTGGATGCCGGTGATGTTACCGACATCCGCATCGTCATCGTCATCATCACTGATGACGTCATCAGTGACGTCACTAATGTCGTCACCGGCATCCGCATCGTCATCGTCATCATCACTGATGACGTCGTCAGCGACGTCACTGATGACATCACCGACATTCGCATCGTCATCATCACTGGTGAAGTCATCAGTGACGTCACTAATGACGTCATCAGTGACGTCAGTGATGACATCACCGGCATTGGGGGTCACGTGACCCCCCGTGGTTAGTCTTACCCCCCCCCCCCCCAGCGCCCTTCCCTCCTCCTCAAGAGCTGCGCTCCAATTCGGCGTTACAGGGAGTTGTAAGCGGCTTTCACTTTTTTTTTTGTAAAATTACAAAGCGTAGTTCTCTTTTAGTAAAAAATGGGGCCAAGAAACTTGCCAGGGTCTACGGCGGGCGGCGACGCTGGCGACCAAGTCCAGTAGTGGGGTGTTTGGCGTTCCTATTGATAGATGGCGTCGAGAGCAGCGTCTGAAGGTGCAGCCGACCAGCGGAAGATAGCAGACGACACGCAGACGAAATCCGTTGATAGCAAAAGCACCACCGTTATGCAGACGCGTTTGTTTTACTTTAAGTTTTGCTTTTATTGTTCGCATTTATTTCTAGAGCGCAGCTCTTAGGCGCCCGTTTCCGGCTTGAGCGGCGTCGCCGTCGCCGTCGGCGTTATTGCGCGTTGCATGCAATTCAGGCTGCATGCGACCCACCGGCATCGGCGTAACCACGCGTTGCATGCAACCCAGGTTCCATTCACCGCAAGTTGCATGCAATCCGCTTCCTATGCAACCCGCAGGCGTCGTCGGGTTGCATGCAACTCTGTGACATCCCCAGGTCACGTGACCCCCGTTTTCACGTAAGCCCCGAGGTCATGTGACCCCCGAGGTCACGTTACCCCCCCAGGTCACGGACGCCCCGAGGTCATGTGACACCCCCCGGGGTCCCGTGACCCCAACCCCCGAGGTTACATGACCCCCCTCAGTACACTTCCCTCCTCCTCCTCAAGAGCTGCGCTCTGATTCGGCGTTACAGGGAGTTGTAAACGGCTTTACAATAATTTTTTAACCGAAGGTACATTTCAAAAAGACTATATTAATTTTATAAACCACGGTTGTAGCGAGCCGTCGCGATAAGGAGGTAGCGCCATCTATCAATACGAACGTCAAACACACCCCGCCACTGGACCCCTGTCGTCTGCGTGGCTGCCCCGCCGTAAACCCCGGCAAGTTTCATTGCCTTATTTTTTACAGAAAGAGAGCTACGCTTTGTAATTTTACAACAAAAACCGACCTGTGAATGACACCTTTTAAGAAAAGTTTAGATTGCTATGTGCAGGCGTCGATTTTTACGGTCCATTTTAGGTCGAGCTTAATAACTTGGACCAACCTATATATACATATATCTAACGGCAGCATGTGCGCTCACCAATACACTAAGAAAAAAGGCGATTTTAGTGTGTCAACTCAAAATTAACTTCATAAACACAAAGATTCTTACAAAACATATTGTCGGTTCAAACGGGTTCCTGTGTTGCTTTACCGGTGTCTCTTCGTTAGTTTTCGCGTTTCTTGCGAACAAGCATGACAGGAGGGGAGCACAGACGACGGTAGTCTCCTATGTTGCTCCCTTCACAAGTTTCGCTCCTTTTTTCTCTGTTTTGAGATATCCGTAGCCATTGTTTTCAACGAAGGACGGTTCTTGCGCAACCACGAGACTCCAAAAGGCTTCGAAGTCCAAGGCGGGCCCGCTGCCTCCGTACTCTTCCGGCAGCGTATCAGCGGGCAGTTCCTTGTGCAGTCCTTCAAAGTTTGTTCCGTGAAGGTGGATCTGCGTAAAAGAAATGACTTACCACCAGCCAGAAGACTCGCATGGTGTAATGCGTGGCAAGGCAAGCATTAATGCTAAATCAGCGTTATCTCAGTGAAGTGTCACATTTATGGCCTTGGTACTCTACCCTTTCCCATGGTTTAAAGCTCATGTCATTCTAGAATAACCGGTGACCACCAATGACACGATTTTAATAAGCTAAAAAGAGCGAGGATTATACCGTCTGCACTACGCTCCGTGTTCAAGTAATCAAAGATTTACAAATCCACGACCATTCTTTTAATTATTTTATAAATGTACATTGCGATTTACGTAGGAAGTATCCAGGAGAATGGGGCGCTGCCGAACACAATGAGTTTAGACAGACACGAAATCGCAAATATATGATAGTGCTACTCTAAACATAAACGCGGCCTGGAAGAAATACACGACGTTTCGGTCGGACGCCCTACTTCGAGTGATAGACGGGAAAAACTGAAAGGAAAAAGTAAGGGTCGTACACGTCCCAAAAGATGGGAGTAAGTACATTGACCGAGAGGGAGGGGAAGGCGAAACCGTTAGAAGACGGGGTACAACTTCTTCGCTTGTCATCTAATGCAATAGATAACAAAAAAAAAAAAAAAAAGACAAGCGAAGAAGCTGTACCTTGTCTTATAAGGGTTTCGCCTTCCCTTCCCTCTCGGCAAATGTACCTAATCCCATTTTTGTGACGTGCAAGGCCCCTTACCTGTTCCTTGCCGTTTTTAGCGTCTATCACTCGAAGAAGGGCGTCCGACCGAAACGTCGTGTATTCCTTCCAGTCCACGTTCTTTTTTAGAATAGCACAACCATATATTTGCAATATCGTATTTACGTAGTAGTCAGACATCTTGTTTGAATACTTCACAATTACGAACAGCCGCTCAATAGGCATTCGCGACACCTATAGTGCTCCAAGTAGACGTCATTTCAGCATTCATGCAACACACACCCAAAACTTTTACACCCGTAGGGGTGTATATTAGATTGTCCGAGCGGCAACAGTCTAAGCGTGTTACAGAAACGCCCTTATGGTGCCAAAATGTTTTAGTGCGCAGCACATTGTTCACGAAAATAAAACTTTGCAACTAAAATTTGTTTTCCCAAATCTGTAAAATTATCTTTAAAAAATCGATATCGGAAGTTGTGCTCAGAACGGACTCATTACATCAATTCGAGAACGGGCTAGAAAATTAAACCCGCTTGCTTTGACCTAAATATTGACCGAATGTCAATCCTTTTTCACTTGCTTCAGAAGATATCCTTACATCCTAAAATATGCATTTCTTTTTCTCACTAAACAAAAAAAAACTTTATTTTAGGCAACATAGCAAATATCAATGTAATTGATATCGCGAGCACTACGTGTAAGAGTCCATATATTTATCGTGCATATGGTGCATAAAAGACACGCATTCGTTTGCCTTTGCAATGCAAAAAAAAAAGAGTATTAATTGTGCAGGCTGTCACCAAATACGATTCAAAAGTGTGTGAAATCAATGTCTTAGTGTGAAGACCCCAAAATTTATGCAAGAACTCTTACGCGCGTGTCCGCTATTTAAAAGGTAAAAGTGACGTTTAGTCCCTTGGATTTATCAAGAAAGGCTATTCAGCTAAGGCAAACAGATGTCTGGGGGTGTCAACGTTTTTAGTGTTTATTCAACATAAGCTATACAAGTCTTGAGAACATTGTTTCTCAAAATACTATTGATTCCTCCCAAACCTCAAAAAACCGCATTAAAAAAAAAAGCATTTCCGGAGTTTTATTTATTTCGCCTATAATGTTGTAAATTAAGGTATTTGTATGTGAATTGAATATCAATTATTTCTTTTAACTGACAAAACTTATATTACTCAAAATAAAAATGCATTGCTGCTTTTTTTGTATTCAATATAAATACCGTCTGATATAAATACCGTCAATATAAATACCGTCAATAAATACCGTATAACGTCTGGGGTAAGACGACAATACCAAATCTTGATAAAATAAATATTTTGCAAAAAAAAGCCGTGAGGGCAATCGCGAATGTAGATTTTGATCATCCTACAGCCAATCTATTCAAGAAGTTTCACATTATTAGTATATATTCTCTCTACGACTACAGACTTTCCACTACTCTAAAAGTGGAAGAAATTAGAAATACTAGCTTTCTAGGGAGCCTTTAACGCCTTTCCCAATATGTTCATCCTTATCCTACTCGTTCTGCGAGCTGTTGGGAGGTGGTCACTCCCAGAACGAACTACGGAACACAAATGCTCAGATACACTATTCCGAAATTATTAAATTTATTTCCCGAAAAAAATTTCGATTGGGAGAAATTATCTGTCAAGGATATTCGGACCCTTCTGTTTGATGTCGATCGTGTGCATAAATCCTTTTCTCCTGTTTTTTATTAGTTATGTCGCGATTGTATCACGTTTCTTTTTTCTTTTTTCAAAAGCTAGAAAGTGACAAAAGTTAACAATCCTGTGGATCAGCCTTAACAAAGTGTGTGATGACGAAGGTCTTTTCTGCTATTCTTTCTATAGCTTGTGCTCTGTATGTATTTTATACTGTTAGTATCACGCTGCTCTGCTGCCTGTAGGCGGTTGGGGACCTCGTCAAGCTGTTTTCTACAGCTTTTTGTCCCTGGTCGCCACCATAAAAATCTTATGGTGAAATAAACGATTATTATTATTATTATTACCATTTTGTAGGAACTACTTCGCGCTGCAAGTTATCGAGCTGTGTGTGAGAGAGTGTGCGTGCGTGTGCGTGCGTGCGTGCGTGCGTGCGTAAGTATGTGCTTGCGTGCGTGTGTGCGTGCGTGTGCGTGTGCGTATACGTGTGCATGTGTGTGTGTGCGTGTGTGTATGTGTGTGTGTGTGTGTGTGTGTGTGTGTGTGTGCGCGCGCGCTTCGGAGACGATTTAGTAGACTCTTTTTATCAACACATTTCACTTTACACTTTTTGTGTCTAGGTATCTCAATCGACGTTTATTTCGCGAAACAAGAAACAATTCAAACGCTCTATTACAAAAAAAAACATAGATACCTGCAAATACAGTGACATTTTATCTTTAGTTATTGTAGGCAGTGAGACAATTTTATATCGCACGCAAGATATGCACCCAGATGGCCAGTTTGACGAGATAGCTTAAGGAACCACCTGCTCAGCCAAAAAGATTACAAAATGAATTTATTCAACCACATTATGTCGTTCAGTTTGTTTGTTTGTTTATATTTTTTATGCTTACGGCGAAATGTTTTGATTCGCTAGTTACGCGTGCTATGCGCGCTGTAAGTAGTATATGAGAGAGCCATAACCAGATAAACAGGCTCCCACCTCCCTGTACCACGAAGGTTGCATCATTGCCTGTTTTCATCTTTCAATGCTTTCTTTTAATTATAATTACTGGTCACTAAACCTGCGCTCGTGCTTCCTCACTTTCAGACTGGACATTTCTCATTCAATAATAAATTACGCGTAGGCCGTGAAACGATTCGTACAAAACTGTACTAAGCCTGTTTCTTTTTGTGTGTGTGGGTGTTTTTCTTTCTTTTTTTTTTTTTTTGTTTCAGGAGCGATGCGGAACTATATCTATTTTGGTAAATACCGGTTATAATTACTTCTTTGTATTCAAAACCCATACAACACGTGTTCCTTTTTTCTTTCTTTAGGTAAGTGTATATACAGAAGAAAAAAAAATTCAGAAAACTGAGCTGCGTACACTGCCTCAACCCGCAGCCTGAACAAGCGGCCACATGATATAGAACCCATCATATGCCGCGAACGTTTATCACAACCACGCCCAGGGGTTTGCAAAGCACCGGACAAGTGGTCACTTGAAAACGATTGTCAAGGTTCCGTTATTGACGACACGGCAGCGATCGGTCACAAAAGAGAATGGATGTCGACGCATTATTTGTCATGATCACAAACTGAATGCTCACGCAATGCTCGTGTTTGCTGTACTTGAGCTGGATCTATATATTTTCACCGCGTAGGGGATCACAAAAGTTTGATGCCGAAATTTCTGAGGATAGCCTTGCTGACGACGCCGAAAGGACGATCTCGACAACTTCGTCATCATTTTTTTTTTTTTTTTTTTTTTATTGAAGGAGAGATTGAAAAAAAAAAAACGTCCACTTCTAACCTCAAAAACCCGCTGCGACAAAAAAAAAAAAAAAAAAAAATTCGTGGTCAGTGGCGTTGCGTGTGTGGTTAGTATACTTGGGTTTCCCTAGTGCCGGTAAATTTGTGTAAATTAAAGAAAAAAAATGTTCTTAGCTTATAGTGTCTCAACTGGTTTAAATAATACAAAGCATGCATCCTAACCAACTATAATGAGCTCGTTGAAGGAAATAACTTGCCTGCAATCAATTCTCCCCATCAATTAGGAGGCTACCTGGCGTCTGACTACAAGTAGTGTGCCTAGATCTTAGAGTGTTTGCAACTGCTAGATCGGGTTCACTAGGTTTATGGGCCGCGTTTGCAATACCAGCTGCGAAGGGGACATGAAGGCGTTGATCGTCTTTGAGCGTCTCTTTTTCTTCGTCCGCTCTCCTCCTCCTCACCAACGCATGTCCACTCGCAACCAATCTCCACAAGGGGCGTCCGTCATTTAATTGTAAACGCTCTTCGTGGTTTCAGTTGCTCCCTCTCTTAAATCTAGGCTCTCTAACAATTAGTGCCTCGTAAACGACTCGAAAATGAACAAACAGAGAGGGCGGACTGGAAATGAAAAATAAATAATTCTGGTGTTTGTTTCTGTCTTTTTTTTTTTTTTAGGGGGGTCGGTGATATTATTTTATTGTCTACTTTGTAGTTCAAATATAGTTAACCAGTAGTTCTTGCAAGTAGTTTGTAGCTCACATAAATTCCCTGCTAGGTTTGCTGCAAGGTATAAACGCAGTCTAAGACAATTCAACGTTCCTAATTTGTTTTTGCTTTTTTTTGTGCATAGATATTGCCATTTGTAGGACTCACCCTTTCGGCGTACTTCCTGCTGAGCAGATGCCTGACAATTGCCATCAGCATGTCATAAATGTACGACTGATTCACCATGTGGATCGCTTTCAGCCGGACTGGCATACATTTCTGCAAGATTTCGAAAATAACTCGAAAAACAAAACACAAATAAAGCGAAGAAAGTAAAAAAAAAACACGCAGGCGAGCTGGTGAATGACATCTGTGGGAACCATGAGACGTAGGAACAATAATAATAAAAAAAAAACGGACAGAACAGCGGGAAAAAACTTCGCTGTTCTGACCGTTTTTAGTTTTGTTAGTTTTTCTACGCTTTAGTGTTACTAAGGATTTAAATAAATCGCCTCGTTAAACTTTTGGATGCCTCTTGAGCTCAGTTTTTGCTAAACTATAATTATTATTCTTTTTTTTTTCTGGCACTGCTAGAATTACCTTTACGGCAAGTATTAATAAAAAATAGCAATGGCGCTACGAAACATGCAGTCCCGCTGTTCACACATCATACAAAAGACAGTAGAGAGTGTTAGAGAACTGTTTTTGCACATTCATTAAGTACGATGAGCCCTCCGGTACGAACTGCGCATGCGTCACCGCAGAAGACTTGCGCATGCACAGTTCGTACCAGTGGGCCCATCCTACAGTATCGACTGTGGAAAAACGGTTCCCTAAAACTCTCTAGAGTGTGAAGACTGTTTTTTTTACGTTGTACTATTGGCGCGATGGCGGCTTAAGATTTCTATTGCGGCCAACGACCGGTGCGTTTGAGGGAAACGCGAGTGAAGTGGATGGTTTGACCTCTGAACAGATCATATAGATCGGTGTCTTAACGCATCGCGTTAAACTTTTGTACAACGGTGGCCAAACATGGTACATTTTGTGCATCGAAATTTTTGAAGAATTAATTTACCCCCATAAAGATTACACAAAATTAAGAGCCAAGAATTAATCGTCTTTCTACGATAAAATGGCGTCTGATTAACTCAGCGGCCGACAGATGGAGACAGGTATAGGAGCGAGCATATTAGCGGCGAGATGTTTTGGTGGCGCCCTCATATGGTTACCTTTCGTGATGTCATTACCTGGTGATCAACAAATTCGATGGTGTTTGTAATTAGCTTGGTGGAAGCTTGAAATCATTGCGCTCTTAAAGCAACACTACCAACACCGTCGAAGTTGAAGTTCTTCCATTCCTCTTATTCCCGTCGATGAGACATCCTTTGCTGACGTCATAGTCAGCATTCGGCCAATCGTGGAAGGCCGACCACAGCGACGCTTTCGATCGCGCACGTCGCCAATAGACGCTGATATCCAATAGCAGGCAATCTTTTTTTTTTTTTTTCAGTCAAATGTGGCGCAGGCATTTTTAGTGTGGCGCATTATTGGGTGAATTGTTACTAAGGAATCACACTTAACGGACACAAAATAAAAAAGAAAAATTATTTGTCGGGGTATTTCGGCCATATGTTAACAGCTAACAGTTATCCCTCGCCCGATGCGTCACCGAGACGTCTTTCATATGCAAATGACCGCCGTATGTAGAGAATTCGCGCTCTTAAATTTTTACTCGATTCTCGGGAAGCTCATTCTTTGTAATCTCGATGAATTCACTATCTACAGCCCTCTTTCTACAACATCTAAGCTCGAATATGTTAAGAAACCGATGTATGAGGTTGCTTCGAACTGCCAACGACCCATTTGACTCACGCGCTGGAAGGCCCACCGAGGCCCACTGTTGGAATTATTTGCTCCGTGGAGTCATAGTACCATAGAATGTTTAAGGGAAGGAGGAGGAGGGGGGGTTGCAAACAATGCGGCTTGAAATGGCCCTTTCATGTAGTGTGATGTCCTAAAATTAAGACGACTAAACTTTTCTAGGAGGTTTTAGGACACGAATCATGATATAAAATTGCAATATTTTGAGGGAAAAGGAATTGAAGTAAATGTATTCGGGCACGTGCACACCCTAAAATTTCCCCCTAAAGAATCACTCTGCTAGTGAGTACTACAATTCTCTGATTCAGAACATCTATACGCAAATGATACAGGAACAGCTTCCATAAAATGTGCGATTGTTTTACGAACAAATGAACTTTTGTCTGATTAGGTTCCTTGAAGCCAAATAGGACAAAGAATCAGAAATTACTAGAACGAACTCTGCAATTCGAACGCCGCCACCGTACTCGAGCATTCTATGCGTCATTCCAAAACAACTTCCCGGCGTACAAAAAGTGAGGACGCAAACGAGATGGTGAAGGTTTAACATAATTTATGACAAAACCCCGAGATTGGGGAAAAAACGAAGGACAACACAACACACAAGTACAGCAATAATTGAAAACTAGCGAGCTAGTCAATGGATACGAATACTTCAAAGGATAAAACATCGAGGACGGGGGTGGAAACAGGACTTCTTTTTGACAGAATTCCTGTTTTCGTCCCCGTCCTCGACGTTTTTTTTCCTTTAAGTATTCGCGCACAATGAGTTTGAATTTTCTCACACTGATTGTAAAAGTTATTATTTACTGATCACCGTTACACAATAGGGCCGTACATTTATTGAAGTTTTAAAAATGTGACCGCTTTTGATTACGCAGATGAACGACCAGAAACGATTCACTGTCATCGACATACTCAACAAATGTGCAATGGCGCGTAGAAGGGACATGTCGATATCATTAAACATCAAACCTAATAACTGATGTGCATTCTATTCATATAGTAAAATTTAAAATATACGTATCTTTTGTTTTGCTTTGGCTAAATATTTAAAATATTTCAATTATTGAACTCCACAAATGTGAGTACTCCCCACTACCGGGGCTTCACAAACTTTGGTTAATCAACTTTAGTTAATGCACATTAAATGGTTAATAAAAACTTGGAGCTTACCAGCGTAAATTCCACACATTGCTTCAACAGACCGATGTTCAGCGCCAAAAGTTTAGTCATGCTCAGCTCTTTGTAATCCATGACCACGGAGATTCCAACAGTCTGTGACGAGGCGTCCACTGACAGATACTCCAGGAGCAGAAAATATGCCTGCTGAGCTTCGCAGTGACTAACGAGGCTCGGTATCCAAGAACCTGGAATGTGAACTAGACGCTAATAATTATTCACCAAATAATAAGAAATAGAGTTCATCTCTTAAGCGAATATATTTACGACATGAGCATCAATTTCCTCTTGGTTCAAAAAAAAAAATACAGGAGGAAGAATCAGAATATATTAAAATTCCGGTCCTTCGAAAACGAAGTTTTACCTCAGATATTACTTTAATTCGCGAACGTTCGGTCGACTGAAGGCTGAATGTGGGTAACGCAGCTCGGGGCAAGTGGACCGCTTTCGAGTACTCTAGAACCTCGGTACTTTGGCCTTAAACCCTGCACCTGGAAATTTTCGTTTTCTAGCATTGTCATGAGTCACTGCCTCGTGATTTACGCGGTAATTCACTTTACGTTATACACTAGTGACTCCCCTTAGATAGATCGCTAACATGCAATTTACGTAATAGACACCAAGGTGGCGGCTGTACTGCACTGACTAAATTACTACTTTACAAAGTAGAACCAATATCACCAGATCGACGTCTCGCTGTTTAAATGTAAACCCCACCCAAATGATTTTTTTCTCGCCTGCTTGTGACCAAGTAGAGTTAAAAGACGTCGCTTGTCTGGATCGTTATATGAACCCCTTATACAAAAATATTTAAACCTTTCTTACCTACTTTCATCAACACGACTCGCCGTCCATGGATATCTCGATGTGGAAGGATCATAAACATAAGTCTTGCGTCGTGCTTTGCGTTTGAAGGTAGGAAATTATTGTAGATGGAAAGATATGCCGCACGGTTCTTGTAATAGGCCTTGACAGTCGCCAGTGCTGCGGCGACATTGTATTTCCTTACACGGATGAAGCGTAGAAGAAAACGGCAGTCTCGTCTTGCATTTAGTTTCGGGTCTTCTGCAGAGAACAATGTAGAAAGAAACTGTTATAATACGACAATGACAGACAAGACAACTTGGCGTACTCTTTTGAAAATAAATTTCCGACCGTTGTTTACACGTCCACATTCGACCGTCAATGCCGAGCGGTGTTTGCAGGCGTCAGCCTATCCCTGCCTGTCAAATCAAAGACTGAGAAAACGTCGATGCTCGAGGTGTTTAGATAGCTGGCGCTTACCATTTCTAACGCCAGGACTACATTTTTTTTTTTTTTTTTTGCCGAGGACCAATAAAAAGCAGCGCGAGCCGAAGGTCGGGTTACCCCAAGACCGAGTAATGCAGATTTCTATATTGGAGACATAACATTACACTAATAAACTTGCACCAAGTACGCCGTCCGACAAAGAAACGCTGGTGGCGAGCTGCGTTAAAAATATTGTTTTATTTTTATTTTATTTATTTCGTAGTTCCAGTCATCAACAGGCTAGAGCAAAAGAGGGTACGGTTACAATAACGCATAATCATTATTACACAGTCGGACATTATACGAGCACTTCAAAACATCCGAAGTTTCCCTATCACCCTAAAGGACCAATATGCTTGCGAAAGCATATTGGTCCGTCCTTTCTGTTTATTCTTTCTGTATTAAGTCATCAAAACCAACGCGCTCACGTTTAGCTATATGCTTGTAGTGTTTATTTCTAAATACGAAAGCTCGAAAATCGTATATATTTATCTTCGCTCAACTTTTGGGAATCATCAATTATTAAAAAGGACATTTCTATGTGTGACACATTTTTATGTGTGATTCTATGTAGAAATTTAGTAACGTTTCTGGTTTATCTATAATCATCGTAGGTAAAGCGTAGTGCCTTGTTTTGTATATATTTACTGTTTGGATTTTTCGTGGTGCCTATGCAGTACTCCCGTACTCCATAACTGGTAAAATCATGCTTTTAGAAACGGTTCTTTTTACTTGAGGTGATGTGTCTCTTAAGCTCCTCCGCAAAATCCAGAGACGTAGCTTTTTTTTCTTTTTATATGTTTGTTAGACATAAAAATTATAGGAGATAGTCGGATGATAAAATACTTCAAAGTACTAATAATAGGTCCCTTTCGTGAGTGGATCCTCCCTGATGTGATAAGCAAAATTAAGGTTTTGATCAATCCTCCCCAATATCATAATCAATAACGAAGGCCTTGGACACTTCGTATATACACCGCATTTCACACGGATCGAAAGGGATTGCATAAAAATGTGGGGAGAATGTCGTTTGTTGTGCCCGCAGAATAAAAAAAAAGCCTAATATGTTCTTCTGTGAACAAGCGCACAAGCTAAGAAGCTCAGTCGAACCGTAGTACGTGTAGCGTAATATGGTATGAAGTTTGTATCCTGCTTAAAAGGAGCGATCGACAAGACGCCGTTCTCGTACACAGGTCAGACCAGACCGGGCGATGCATGAACATTCCACTCCCAGATCACCACAGTTCATTGAGAGGAACCGCATATTCGCATTTAGTGATGCATTGCCGGGATGCGGGTGCGAACCACGTTTCACCGACACACCAGTGTTGTTCCAACAGAAGGACCAGTTGTCCTGGGAGATAGTTGAGACCTACCAGATAACAAAAAAACAAGCAAGTCCACGTGCGTAAGCCAGCCATCACAGACCCCTGAGGACAGCGATATATATATATATATATATATATATATATTATTTTTTAGCACTTGAGGTGAAGAAGGGTTATTCCACGGAGAGATCGGACCTGCAGGTCCACTCAACCATTTTATTTCTTCTGTTTGTTTAAATGTGATGTACGCACAAATGAATCGCACGAAACTGAACTTTTTGTCTCGAAAACGCGTTCTCACTACGAGAAAAAATTGTTTTGAAGATTGCGTGACGGCCCTGCTTCTATTGCGGACCGCGTTAGTTGCCAACTTGGCGTACCGCTCTTTGCCTGTGGAAGGCAGGCAAAGAGCAGTACGCCAAAAATGCATTCTGTTTTTCTGTTTCATGTAACACGCTCAAGTTTAAGTCAATTCCATGCAATTATTATGTGCTTTATGCAATAAAAATATATAAAAAATTCATAACCTTAGACCAGGTGCAACAAATACACTAACTTTGAGGCCTTCTACCTCAATAAGTATGGTATTAGCGACTTTGAAAACTACACATAATATAGACCAGGGCATCTAAATTATTCCTGCAAAATATGAGCTTTCAATAGAAATATCAACAGAAAAAAGAATTATTAAAAAAAAACACTTTAAAAAAATACCCATATTGAAAAAACAAAATATAAAAAAACCCGTCTCGATTTTACCAAAACTCTAGGGTACAACTCCCCTTAGGCCAGGTGAAAAGAACGTAAAAAAGATGTTGCACCATTTGCTTGGTACAAAAGTTCTAAGCGGCCAAATTGGCGGTTGCGAAGCGTCTTGATTCTGGCGGTTTTCGCTTCACCCCGCTGCAAGTTTCTTGTTTTTTTGTTTTTTTTTGTTGTTTTTTTTGTTTGTTCTTTTAAAGGTAAAAGGAACTTTTTTTTTGTCACAAATGAGAAATTTATGTCGCAACAGCATTGCGAAACCTTCGGGCTTCAGTTGGTCTGGCGGCGCAGACGAAGTAACGGGAGAAGCGACAGACGTCACCGTTGTGCACGCAATGCACGCAGCACATAGTTTTTTGCGCCGATTACCTCCGCGTTCACAAAAAGAAGATACCTTCCAGCAGAAATTTTTGGAGTCAAGATTCTAGATGTTGAATTACTGCGAATGCTGCATACTACCAGGATCTGGGAAATTGCAGGATGCAGACCAGGTCTCCCAGCACTGCTTTCGGCGCCTCAAGGCGCTCCTATCTTCATATGCCGGCACACCTGATGAAACCATGCGAGATATTTTATCAGGAAGAAGAGCTATTACCCTTATCTGCCGGCGCACCTGAAGAAACCGACGAGACATTTCTTCAGGAAGAAGAAGCAGTCAATGACCTGACCAGGTACGTTCAACTTTTGAATGTTTTTCCTTTGAATCCAGCATATTCGATTCGGAAACTGGTCAGAAAATCTAATGGGTAGAGAAAACAGGCACCGATTGAAAAGAACGTTTTGACAAAAATACGCGTAAGTTTAATTAAGTATTGCCTATGTATTATGTACCTAAACTTGAGCGCCAGAGTCAAGACGCTTCGCAACCGCCACTTTGACCGCTTAGAACTTTTGTACCAAGCAAATGGTGCAACATATTTTTGTACGTTTTTTTTTGCCTGGCCTAAGGACAGTTGTACCCCAAAGTTTTAATAAATCGAGACCGTTTTTTCTTGTTCTTTTTCAATACAAGTCTTTTAGAAAATGTAGTTTTTTTCAGAAAAATTCCTTTCTATGTTCATATTTTTATTGAAAGTTCATATTTCGTAGGAAAATAACTTTGATGCCCTGGCCTATATTATGTATAGTTTTCAAACTCGCTAATTCAATACATATTGAGGTAGAAAGGCTCAAAATTAGGGTAGTTGTTGCACCTGGTCTAAAGTTATGAATTTTTTATACATTTTTTATTTCGTAAAGCACGTAATAGGTGCATGCAGTCGACTTAAACCTTGGTGGATTACAAGAAATATGAAACATTTTTGGCATACCACTGTTTTCCTGCCTTCCACTGGACCGCAAAGTTGGCAACTAATTCAATCCACGGTGGCAACAGGTCCTTCGCGCAATCTTGAAACTATTTTTTTTTTCGCGTAGTGAAAACGCGTTTTTGAGACAAAAAGTTCTGTATCGTGCGATTCATTTATGTGTAGATTACATATACAAAATAAAAAAAAAAAAAAAAAAAAATAAAATGTTGAGTGGACCTGCAGGTTCGATCTCTCGTGGAATCACCCAGAAGTGTTTGAAGATCACGTCGTGCCAGCCTCCGCGAGCAGCAGCGCCATTTTCGTGTTTCTGTTCTAATAATATTTGAAACACAAGTCAGCGCTCGTCCTCTGTATCTCTCGTCTTTGTGCTCGTCCCGTCGTGCTGTTCCAGAACGCAGCTCTTAGGCGCCCGTTTCCCGGTTGAGAGATGTCGGTGTCGTCGTAACCGCGCTAAATGTAGCGGGAAAGTTGATGTCACGTGGCCTCAACCACAATTCAATTTCCTGCTAAATTTAGCCGGGAATATGACGTCACATGACTTGGTGTCACGTACCCTATGAACAAATTCAGTTTCTCCACTAGATTTAACGGGAAAATTAACGTCACTTGACCTCAACAGAAATTCAATTCCCCGCTAAATTTAGTAGCAAAATTCACGTCACAGGAAACACTAATTCAGTTTCCCCACTAAATTTAGCGGGGAAAATGACGTAACATGACTTGGTGGCACGTCATCTCTGAACAAATTCAGTATCTCCGCTAGATCTGGGGGAATATTGAGGTCACGTGACCTCACCAGCAAATCAATTCACCGCTAAATGTAGCGGGAAAATTGACGTCACGTGACCTCAACACCAATTCAGTTTTCCCTCTACATTAAGTGGGACAATTACGTCACACAGCTTGGTGTCACGTCACTTATGGACAAATTCAGTTTCTCCGCTAGATTTAGCGGGAATATTGACGTCACGTGACCTCAACCGCGATTCCATTCCCCACTAAATTTAGCGGGGAAATCGACTTCACACCTTAAGCCCAATTCAGTTTCCCCGCAAAATTTAGCAGGAAAAATGACGTTACATGACTTGGTGTCACGTCCATTATAAACGAATTATATTTCGCCGCTAGATGTAGCGGGAAAATTGACGTAACCTGACCTCGAGAGCATTTCAATTTCCCGCCAAATTTAGTAGGAAAATTCACGTCACAGGAAACACTAATTCAGTTTCGTCACTAAATTTAGCGAGGAAAATGAAGTGACATGACTTGGTGTCACGTCACCTATAAACTAATTAAGTTTCTCCGCTAGATTTACCGGGAAAATTGACGTCCCGTGTGGAAGAGTAGTAGGAGGGGAACGTATGGAGGTGGAGGA